GTAAAGGAACCGTACCTACGGGGTAAGGTACGTCGTCTTTATTACTACGTGTGTGTGTGTGTGTGTGTGTGTGTGTGTGTGTGTGTGTGTGTGTGTGTATTTTCATATTACTCGTGTCCTTGTGTGTTAGTCATTGTGTTTACAAACCAAACATAATAAAACACAAAATCATTATTTGAGACACACAAAATGTAACACAGAACCAGACCTGTATATATATTTTTTGAAAAACCTGTGTTGATGTCCATGAGAAAGAAGAGGACAAAGAATATTAGCAGAGAGAGGAAGGAAACTGAGAGGAAGGGAAGATGTGTTTCTCTCATAAAAGTACCATTAAAGTGAGAGATTATGTATCACAACATGAACACCGTGAGAGAGATTCTGTAGCTCAGCCCTCCCCTTCTAGATTTTTCCTCTACTGGTGTTAATCCACATAGCTCTATGGTCTTCAATGGAACTATGCTGATTTACAGTGGCTGAGGCCCACTATATTTTGTATGGTGTGCGGAGCATGCATTCTTTCAAAAGGTGCTGTAAGCCAGTTCTATGACCCAGGAGTGGAGCGTGACCTTCCTTAAAGGTATTCTCTCCCCCCCCCACCACACACACACTGTTTCCCAACTGCACACTCTTCCAGCCCTTCCCCTGACTACCTGTGTAAGGAGCAAACACCAAGGACCAGACACTGCCTCTGTCACACGAATATTCTTTTAGGGACTGATCCTATGAACACTGTGTGGCTTGTTGCAAAACTACCATTAGTAGTCCCATTGAGTTCCATGGGACTATACATGGTAATAAGCACTACACTGGTAATGTTTGCAAGATTGAGCTCATAATGGGTATCTGCTGGATCACTGTCATTTAAAAATTGGACCGATCTTTTAAATTCTTTAGAAAAATTTGGGCCAAATTCTCTCACTTTCTCTGGTGTAGATCAGGAATAATTCCACTGAGATCAGTGGAGATATGTCAGTGAGAAACTGATGTGAGATCAAAATTTGTCTCGTATTTTGCAAAGTAACTCCAGCGCAATACATACTGACTTTTGTGAACTGTATACAGAGAGAAGTAGTAACGCAAAATATTCTGAGAAAAACATTTTTGAGGCACGAATGGAATAGTAGTGCAAAGCATAACCTAAGGCTATGTCTATGCTACGAGCTAGGAGTGTGATTTTTGCTGTTTGTCTACATATACTTGCGCTAGTTCTCATCGAGCTACCATGAGTATAAATAGCAGCGTAGTTGTGGTAGCATGGGTAGCGGTAGTGGAGGCACTGCTGAACTGTGCCAAGTACATACCCACTAATGAGAGCTAGCGGGAGTATGTGTACACGAGCAGGGGAATTGCACCCCTACCTCATTGTGTAGATATAACCTAAGGGATATTGAGCTAGATCCTCAGTTGGTATAAATCGGCATTGCTCCACTGAAGTCAATGGAGATACTTTGAATTATAGGTGTTGGGGGCGCTCTTGCACAGATTAACAGAATACCTCCTCACATTTTTCAGTATATAAAATATACAAGTGATTCTCAATCTTTCAAAACTACTGTACCCCTTTCAGGAGTCTGATTTGTCCTGTGTACCCCCAAGTTTCACCTCACTTAAAAACTACTTGCTTACAAAATCAGACATAAAAATACAAAGGTGTCACCGCACACTGTTACTGAAAAATTGCTCACTTTCTCATTTTACTGTATAATTATAAAATAAATCAATTGGAATATAAATACTGTACTTACATTTCAGTGTATAGTAAATAGAGCAGTATAAACAAGTCATTGTCTGTATGAAATTTTAGTTTGTACTGACTTTGCTAGTGCTTTTCATGTAGCCTGTTGTAAAACTAGGCAGATATCTAAATGAGTTGATGTACCCCCTGGAAGACCCACTGGGCTACATGTACCCCTGGTTGAGAACCACTGAAGTATACATTATGGGAATTACAATACATTTATTTTCATAAAATAAGGATTAGGCATTTATCTGCAACCTAGTAAATAGGAATTTGACATGCGTATCAGTGGGATTTCTTAGTAAAATAGTAGATTGGATAAAATAATTAACTACATTGCCATAGTTAGGAAAACAAACCATTGTTTATTATAATAAAGGCACATATAGCGTTTACATTATAGACCGTGTTTAGAATCCTAAGGTATTATTTGTTTCTGCAGTTCCAAAGCCTCTTCACTGCCTCCTGTTGTGGGATCCCGAAAATCGAAAGGGAGTGTAAGTAGCAAATGTAACAATAAGATTTTTGCTGCTAACTCTGCTTAATTCCAAAAGATGGAAAGTCATTATCCTTTGGGTTTCAATTAAACGTGTGATAATAAAACCCAGAGCCACCTGGTGGTATGTTTATTACAGCTTGAAGAATATGGAACTATTCCCATGTCAATTAGACAAAAGAAATATCAGAAAATATTGTTGCTGTAATGGTCTATTTATTTTGTACAACATCTCTGAAACACAGCCAAAGACCAACTGTTGCTTTGAGATATTTCTTATAATTCTGGTAAACTATCCTTGTAAGTTTTCACTCATTTTTTAATTCAGTTTATGCAACTAAGGAAAATACACAATCAAGACTTCATACAAAGGCCAGGGAAGACAGTGGGAGTCTTTTCATGGTCTTCGAATCAGGCCTTAAAAGAATTGCCTATCCCATGCTCTAGGAATCCTTTACAGCCTGATTCTTTACTGCCTTACACCCTGTAAGCCATTTACACCTCATGGCAGGTCTTCACTACCCGCCGATCCGGCGGGTAATGATCTATCTATCGGGGATTGATTTATTGTGTCTTGGATAGACACGGATAAATCGATCCCCGAAAACGCTCCCCGTCGACTTCGGAACTCAGGTTCGCGAGAGGCGGAAGTGGAGTCGACGGGGGAGCGGCAGCGATCAACTCGCTGCCATCCTCATGGCCAGGTAAGTTGACCTAAGATACGCCGACTTCAGCTACACTATTCACGTAGCTGAAGTTGCGTATCTTAGGTTGACCCCCCTCCCCCAGTGTAGACCAGGGCTCAAACACATAAACTTTAAGGCCAGAAGGGACCATCATGATCACCTAGTCTGACCTATACACCTGTGCAGAGTGGGTATAAAATGCTGCCAGATCAGAATGGTAGTATTTTATTCCCTGCTTGCATTCACTGTGCATAGAGGTAAATGACCACAGAAGTTGAAGGGAGTGGAAAATCAGGCCCACAGTCTATAAGTATAAACCCTGTAGTCTATCCCACCCACCCCACTGCCCCAAGGAACACCCCCCCCCCAAAACCCCCACAACTAACAAAACACCAAGAAAATATGAAACTATTGGAAAAAAAAGCCTCCACTCAATTCAGTTTAAATTCAAT